GAGTCAGCTTTCCATGCCCTTAATCATTAAGAACACTAAGGAAATGATTCAGAAAGATTGCATTTCCATCTGTGTGGTATGTATATATACGTTGTTTGTGTGTGTCAGTAATACAATACATTTAGGATGAGAAATTGTAGATTATAATATGATATTCAGTGGGAAAAGCAGAGCACACACAGTTGCCTATAGCATGATTATACACATACATAAGAAAAACAAAGCATAAGATGGAAAAGACTAGCTAAAACTAAACTAAATGGTTAAAAATTGGGTTTGGGTGATTTTTTTTCTAAAAACAGTAAGTAAAGGTCCAAACCCTGAGTTCAGATGATCTCAGTCACAGTGACCTGAGGGCCTAAGGCAGGGTCACTTTCTTTTCTAAGATCATCATTTGATTAACACGTTTCCATGTAATTGTCTTAGAAATGCCACCTCCTTGATGCCTTAGAGAATTCTGGAGTTTTCAAGCAAACCAGAAACCTTTAAGTAAGAAGTATAAATGTCCATTTCATAGACAGAAGAACTTGGAATTGCAACGAGGGGTTGAATATCACCTTTCTAAATAGTAACAGAACTAACACAGAACTCAAGGTCTATCTGACTCTAAAACTCATGCCTTTAATCATGGGGTCATTCTGTCCTGTATCACAGGTTATTTTTCTTGGCATAGGATGGACTTTTTTCCCAAATATATCCCACATGCATTTAGAAAAAAAAATATTTAAGGAAGAACATAGAATCTTCAATGAAATCAAATTTAGATCGATGGCTCACTAAGCAATTAAATCAGAGTTTCCTTACAAGGATACTCACCAATTGAACTAACTCCTTTCCATTATCCTATGGAAAGGAGAATGTGTATGTGTCGATGAAGATCAAGTATTCAGGTAAGAAAACCTCCAGAATAGACTAAGAAATTCAACAGTATATTTATAAGGCATCCCGGAGGCTGGCAAGATGGATCGATGGCTCACTAAGCAATTAAATCAGAGTTTCCTTACAAGGATACTCACCAATTGAACTAACTCCTTTCCATTATCCTATGGAAAGGAGAATGTGTATGTGTCGATGAAGATCAAGTATTCAGGTAAGAAAACCTCCAGAATAGACTAAGAAATTCAACAGTATATTTATAAGGCATCCCGGAGGCTGGCAAGATGGCTCAGTGGGTAATAGTGCTTGCTGCCAAGTCTAATGATGTAAGTTCAATCCCTAAAACACACATGTTAGAATGAAAGAACCAACTCCTCCAAGTTGTCCTCTGAGCCTCACCCCACACACATGTCTTGGTATGCACACATAGAAATAAAGAAGTGTACAAAAGAAGTTATCATAGGACTTTATAGGAGGGAAGGTGTTTTCCTTGATTTCAACTTAACTGGTTAGAATTAAGTATGTTTAACAAGCCTTTGATTTTAGGTCAAAGGTATAGCTTTTACCTTACTATGAATAAGATGCCAAAAGAGCTAACAATAGCAGTCATAACGGACACAGACATCTACATCTTCTTAGAATAACAGCAATCCATGCCAAAAAACAAATATTAATTCAATATCAAATCAATTTTTAGAAGTCAAAATTTAGAGTTATTCCTCTTCCCAGGAAGAAGAAATGCTCTTGTGAAGATGAGAAGCAAAAGGGATCCAATTTCATTAATAGAGATAGAAACCCATGAAAATTAACCCTGGTCTTGAATACACATATGTTTTGCCTTATTCTTTTGTTTGGAGATGACAACTTCAATGTAGGGTGTCCATTAGATGACTCTTACTTGGATCCTTGGCAATTTTTACCTACTGTCAGATCCAACTCTGAATTCAAGTTTTTACCATCACACCCATGCTTTCTCCATTTTATATACCTTACTTCTCTCTAATGGCACTATTTCTATTATGATATAATTGATACTCAAGGAGCCAGTGCACAGTTTGAGCTAAGTAGGATACACAGTCTTAGGAATTTTCTTAGGCTTATCACATTTAGACAGCATTGATTAACTTTAGGCTTAAAATTAAAGCTTCCAAGAAGAAAAGTTAGAGAATGGCAATGGAGCAACCAGGTTGATTTTATGGTAGGGAGGAATATCCCTTAATCCTAAGGGGGCTCATATTCCTGTGCAAAGAGGATACCAAATACTTTACTCCTCTTCAAAATGCCTGTAGCTGATTCTGAAGCTCAGGGGAAAAAATGACACAGTTTTGCTAGAAACAGGAATCAAAAATAAAGAAATCCAAGATACTTGTCCCTCCCTCTTCCCATCACCAGTTCCCCCATATAAAAGTGGCCACCCCACCTATTTACCCTACAATTCTCTACAGACACTGATCATAATATCAACAACATTAAGCATTCCAACATCACCCTTTCTGTCTCTCAGAAGACCACATATAAATCCCTTGACCTGAAGTATGGGCTTTTCCAGGAATAGTCTTTGGTTTTTTTTCATTAACTGTAGTGCCTAGAACATTCTACACCTGCAATAAATGTATGCAAAGTGAAGAGAAGATGCTCATCAGGGTCTCCACTGAGGAACTGGTTTCAATGAGGGAAAAACAATGTCACTAGGACGCTCTGTATATTCCCTAACAGAGTGCAGTTCTATCATTTTTCCACTCCAGTGATTCATTCTGAACATGGTGTCAGGAATAATGCAGGGGCAAAAAACAATTAGTGGGGGAACAAAACAATCAGTTGAACCGTCTGGGATTTGAGCGATGTATAGATCAAATGTCTTAAATTTGCTAAGCTGCTTCTCATTTGGCCAGAATGGATGGTTCTTGGCTGCACTGTACCAAGAATAATTGTCCCTCATATATCCCCAATCAGCTGCATTTTAATGACTAGTCAAAAGTGACAATGTAAAAGGTGCAGTGACTTTCACTGTACTTGCCCAATTTTGGACCAACTCCCATTGATTTGCCCTTGGAATAGGTGAATTCATAGCTACATTGCACAACTGGCTATAATTACCACTCTCTGCCTCTACCACCACAAGGCCTGAGAGTTACAAGAGAAAGAAGTGAGATGGCTGAGGTGACCTGTTCTTATACTAATTTTACAGACAACAGAATATCTACAATATCTTGCTTTACATCAATTCAGTTTCTTATCTCTCAGAGGTTAAATGACTTTTCCATCTCTTCGAACCAGCACCAGAGTAGGCTACCCTTACAAAGACATTTGGAAAGGGTCCAGGTACTTGACAGACTTAGAAACCCCATGTGGCCTATTTCCATTCCAGATGGCTGCCTCCTCATCTTAGCTCATGCTCGCTTGTTGCTGCTTTGAAAATTCAGTCAACTCAATTTAAAATTCTAAAGCTACAAGAACTTTCACCCTAGCATCCATCTTGCATCTTGCTTTTGGCATAACTATGAAGAAAGTTTGCAGTTCTCTTAAAATATACTTTAAATTGTAATACAGTTGACCTCACAAAAATCACTCCCTGAAAATAGTTGTGCACTAGTCATACAGCAGCACTCCAGACTTGCCCAGTATCACTCTCATCATCAGATTTCCAGTGCTTGGAGTATCTGACTATGGATGGTCTTTAGCCATCAAGTCCTGCAGTATGTCCTCAAGACATTCTCTCTTATGTTGGGTCTCAAACTTCCTCCTCTGCCCCCCACCCCCAGCAGAGCTTATGCTGCTGTCTTATGCCATTGTACCACTGCTTTCTGTGTGAAAGTCTGAATTCCTTAGTCAAATAAATAAGCTACCTCAGAGTAGGAAGTCAATCTATTACAGATTCAGCATCCTCATGCTGTAGAAGTAGGCCCTTAGAAGAACTTGGTAATTATATAAAGTATCCTTTTATATAAAGTAGAAATTGATAACCCACAGATAGCCAGCTGGATTTGTGTGCCTTGTCAATAAAACAGAGCAAGCTGCAATCTGACTATGGCTCACAGAGGAATCTCCTAATCTTGATGTTCTCTATCTCTGCTTTTTTGCTCAAAAAGTAAGTTCTGCACAAACGAGATGATTAAGTTATACAGGGAGAGGGGCTCCCTTAGCATTCTGGCTTGTTCAAAAGGGTCAGCGTTCCCCTCTACAGCAACTCTTCATACCCACATTCCATTATGACTTTGTACAGAAAGAAACAAAACACCCATCTTATTCTGGACTTTGTCCAGATTCTCACTCCCTTCTGGTCTCACATCTGCCCCTTGGCACACACCACCCTTCTGGTGTAGAGCACACTCAGTCCTACCACATTTTTGCCAAGCTAAAGCCCACTCATGTGTCAAGACTTCCATTTTGTATCTCTTCTTTGCTGACTAAACTCCTGTAGTATGGCTGGGTCCCTTTGAAAAGGCATCTCGTACGTCTCTGTACCTTACCATTGATGATGTTGATAATAATAACTGACTATACAGCAAACACTAATGCATATTAAATGCTAGGCATACTTCAGGAACCAATTAACTCAATCATCATTAGTATCAGCTGAGATAGGTTCCTAGTTGCTTCTCTTTTACAAATAAGTAAATCAAGTCTCAGAGATGTTGTCACGTGACTCTGTGAGGCTCAAAATCTCACCCAAATGGCCCCAGAGATCATGTTTATCACTAGTTCATCACACTGCCTCTTATAAAATTTACCATGTCTGTAATTATGTATTTAATATCAGTAGGCAGCCAGCTCCGTGAGGACATTTTGCTCAATATTCTATAACCCCAGAGTTAGGCTTCAGAAAGCACTAAGGAAACATGAGTGGAAGAAATAAAGGAAACAACCAGCTGACTAATTCTTCTAGAATCTCAAAAGAGAACCTTCAGCATCCATAGACACTGAAACTATACTGGACCAAGGTGATGGTTATTTAATGCTTCCCTTTCTACCAGTTAACCATAGTTAAACTAATTGGATTATTTACAACTAGAAAGAGGGAGACCTGGAGCTCCAAGAACCCATCACTGTTCCTTGGAAGAAGAGGAGCCCAGGGTGAGCAATGTCCCAAGCACACACCACTCCGACCCAGGAAGGTGACTCACCTCTTTCACAGGTTCTTCCCCAGTAACCTGTGCCAGTGCAGTCGCAGATGAACCGGTTCCAGCCATCCTTGCACACGGCGTTGTTTTTGCAGGGATAGCTGTCACACTGCTTGGCGCTCATGCGTGAACAGGAGGACTTGACACCTGCCGCATTCTGCATCTCCGCCAGCTGCCGAATGTTCTTGCTGCGACCGTCTATGAACAGGTCACGGATGCAGCCCACGTAGCCATAATTGAGCATGGCGGTCCAGAGTTCCGTGGGGAGAATGAGGCCAGCTCGGTTCTCCGGCAGCCCGCCCAGGTACATGTCCCCCTCCAGGTCTAAGATCTCACTCTCCCCACTGGCGGTGAATGGTGTGCGCCTGCTGTTCACAGAAATGGTACCTGGGATGAGAGATAGACACAGTGAGTTACCGGCTCTCTGGCATAGCAGGTGAGCCCCCTCAGCTTATCAAGCAAATTAAGGAAGCCTCTCCATGTGGAGGACAGTTAAACCAACAGGTGAGTTCAGATGCTGGTGAGTGGCCCAGCATTGCCTGGTCAGGAAAGAACAGTGCAAGCAGGAAATGAATCACTGCAAGTTGGTGAAAAGGAGCATTGGCTTGCACTCTCTGTGAGCCAAGACAACCTGGACCTTATGAGGACACAGGAAAACCCCTAATATGTCTCTTCTCTACCATTCAGGGCAAGATGAGTTTAGATTCCATCTCCTTTCATACACCAGGTTTATAACTATGGAGAAGAGACTTCACCTTTTCTTTTGTAAAATGGGGAAATAATTATCCCACAGGCTGGTGTGATAATTAAATGAGTTCATAGGTGTAGAGCACCTGCAATAAGGTATAAGGCCTGGGACAGTATAAGGCCTCTGCATGTGACTGAGTCCTCTTCTGGGTATCACTATACCCCAAAGGATGGAACATCATCTTCTGCCTCTCTTTTTTTCTAATTTTGTGTGTATGAGTGTTATGCCTGTATGTATATAGGTACACCTATGCTGTGAGGTGCCCATTGACGGAAGAGGGCAACAGATCCCCTAGAACTGTAGTTACAGATGGTTATCAGCTGCCATGTGGGTGCTGGGATTCCAATCTATGTCCTCTGCAAGAACAACCAGTGCCTTTAACTGTTGCACCATCTCTCCAGCCCTTTTACCTCTCTTTCTTTTAATACCCTATAGACTGGGCATTGACTGCCAGGTCTGCCAACCAATATTTTAAGCACTGTCTTTAACTGGTATTACAGTTGTTGTTTTGGGAGTTTTGTTTTCTTTTTAGAAAGAGTCACACTATGTAGCCCTGTCTGGCCTCCTACTTGCTACAATATCTAAGCTGGCCTTGAACTTAGGATCATCCTTGGGCCTTACTTTCCATGCACTGGAATTATAGGTGTGAGCCACAACCCTTGGATAGAAATGTGTTTCTTTATGCATTTAATAAATGCATAGTGAACACTGTTGTGTCTCTAGTATAATTCTAGACATGATGATGGGCTTGTTAAGCATAGTTCTTCAATTGGGCTGATGTTGCAGAGCAGAGAGGCATAACATCAAATAGTCCAATAAAACTGGCAAATAGTGGGTGTCATGATAGCAGCCCATAGGCTCTACTTTAGACTATGTATCAGTGAAGGCCTCTTTATGTGGAGGACAGTCAACCCAAAAGGTTTAAAAAAGTCCAGCCCTGCAAAGTCCAAGAGAAAGATCATACCAGGTAGAGAGAATGCTGCCTACAAAGGCTTCAAGGGGGCTAGTGAGTGGCTCAATAGATAAAGGTCCTTGTGACTCAAGCCTGACAACCTGAGTTCAATTCCCAGAACCCAGGTAAAAGAAGGCAATAACAGACTCCACAGATTTTTCCTCTAACCTCTGTATTCACACCATGGCACACATACACAGAAATGTACATAATAATTAATTAAATCTTTATTTGAAATCCCTGAGGGTAGGAGGTAGTTTGTTCAGAATCAGAGGCAAGAAGAGGCTAAGAAGAGATGAGTCAGAGACACAGACAGATCTTGGTATGGGCTGGATGCTGGGCTTTGTCAAATGACTTTCTACAAGATGCTACCTGAGAAACTGGGAAGAAATATCTCTGTCCTCCATGGCTTTTCCACCCTAGGCTAGTCCCTCAACCATTTCACAGCTCAATTTCCTGAACTGTTGAATCAAGGAAATGAACTAGGTAATACCCAAGAATCCTGCTGGGATTGTTTTTTTTTTTTTTTCCTTTTGTTAAGTATTTTTGAAGTGCTTCCTAGTACTAAGATAACTGGATTATGTCATTCATAAGCTAGCCTCTGAGTCTTAATTCCCTCAGCTAGCAAGGGTATAACCTAATGGCTGAGCAGATCAGAGATCACAAATACGGTGTGTGCTCCAAATCAGAACATGAGAATGAAATAAAAAGATGCAAGGGACCCTGATGTGGGGGCTGAGGGGAGAGTGAGCTGACTGTCCTCCAGAACTCTTCTAGAGCTTTCTCCTACAGAAACATGCTTTGCCTGTTTGATTCTTAATATTTCAAAAACATACCACAAAAATAATGTCCTGGCTACCATTTTAAGCATGTTACATGGTTTAAAAAAGTATTGATTGACCCAGGCGTGGTGGTGCATGCCTGTAGTCCCAGCACTTGGGAGGCAGAGGCAGGCAGATCTCTGTGAGTTCAAGGCCTGCCTGTCTACATAGTGAGTTCCAGGCCAGCTGGGGCTGCAGGGAGACCCTGTCTCAAAAAGACCAAAAAAAAAAAAAAAAAGATTGATTGATTGATTGATTGACTGATCGATTGATTGATTGATTTGAGGGGGGGGTTGGGACTCAATCCAGATCCTCACACATGTGGGGCATACACCACTGAGCCGTACCAACAACTCATTTATGTGATTTTTTTTTTTTTTAGGCTTTAACCCCCAAACAATCTTCTGAGGTAGTAGTCATTAAAATTTCAGCATGGATTGAGGAGGGACTCCCAAGGCCCCACCCCTAGCTGAGGAGCTACTGGCCATTGAGGGCTGCTGAGGGAGGAAGAAGCACTTTTCTTTAAGGATGTGGCCACTGATAGGATTTCCATGCTCCCATGAATGGCCCCATCCCCATGCACATAAAACCAGTACTAACTGGACTCGGGGCCTAATAATAATAATATAGGACATGAAATTGGGGGGAATAGGGTAATGGGTCCCAATTAGATCTGGAGGAGGTATTGGAGGGTGAATAAAATCAAATACATTGCATACATGGATGAAATACTAAAAGAATAAAAAACACGAATGAAGATGTTGAGATTTATGTCTCAATGTCTTCTCTTGCACAGCTTCCCTTCCTTAGCCTTCAAAGATCCACAGGGTTAATGTGATCAGCAACCAATGGGGTGATGCTTTAGTTTAAATATGAAATATTCCTCAAAGGCTCATGTGTTGGAACTCTTGGTCCCCAACTGATGGTGCTGTTTGTGGAGTCTTCAGGAAGTGGATCCTCTCAGGAGGCAGGACTTGAGGCTTCATATCCCAACCCATCTTCTTTTCACTCTCTGCTTTCTGAGTGTGAATGCAGTGTGAAGGGCCAGCCTCTTGTTTCTGCCATCATGCCTACCTCTGCCTGCAGCTGGGTCATCCCTGCTATGATGAATTGCATCCCTCTGGAAGTGTGAGCCAAAATAAGCCTTTTCTCCCTTAAATAGGTTTGGTCAGGATATTTTATCATGGCAATGTGAAAGTAACCAAGACAGAAGACACATACATTTCCAAGTCAGGACAGTATTAGAATCACTTTATGATATGGAGCATTGGCTACCTCCCATGGGAAAACTGTCCGCTGAATATATGACTAAAAACATTTTAAATGCACTCATCAGGTTTTAAGACTGTGCCCCAACTAAGCAGTAATCATAAAAGTTTTTATGGATCATCTCTCAGGTCTATTATTCTTCTGGATGCTCAGAGAAAAGGCACATTCAGACACACTTGTTTTATAAATATCTATTTTAGAATAGATTGGTAACTAACTGAAAAAATCAGAAAAATATCCTCAGAAGATGTAAAGTTTAACAGATCCTATTAAAATATAATACTACACTGCTTTCCTACAACAATTACTGTTTATTAAGTAAATTTTTATAGGCTTTGATCGAATTCATCAGTATTTCAAAACATTGGCCAATGTTGTAGCTTCCAGGTATTAATTTGAGGCTTCTGAAATCCAAATGAATTTGTGGAAGATGGGTCCCCTGGTGGTTCTAACAAAGCAAAGCAAAGTAGCTGCCATACTAGAAAAAGCAATTAGTGATGGGAATAGCCAGAAATTAATACATGGCTTTAGCCTCATTGGGACACCAGTAGACCATTTCTAAGCCATGGCAAGGTCAAAGTTAATCATACACAAAACTCTTCAACCATGATCTACTTCCACACATAGACTTAACCAACATCAGTGTTTTATAGTCAATTCTGAGATGGCATTCTAGTGCTGACCCAGCTGGAATTTTATTGACAAACTTGAGATACAGAAATTAAGCCTCCAGAGAAATTAATTTGTGTGTGTTTTTCTCTTTAAAAAAAATCACAAAATGTTCATTCTTGCTCAACAAGCACATTTAATTTGAAGCCTGTTGGTTAGGATCAGATTTCAGACAATCAATAAAGATTCCTACTGGGCAATAAAACATCCAGCAAAACATCTGCCACCATGTAGCCTCTGCACAGAGGCATCTACATCTTCCTGAGGGCAAAACCATGCATTCCCACCACCGCCCCTCTAGCTGGGGCCTTTTACACAGAAAAGCTGTCATCCTCTTGAAGCTCAGCTGTTTTTGGCTTCAGCCTTTTGGAGGAACTCCTTGCTTTCTCCCATTGACCAAGGGCACCTAGACATAAGCATGTCCAAAAACAGACTTTTTCATGTTTACAGAAGTAAGTCCATACAAATAGGTCAGATGAAGCAAAACTCAGTCTTGTATATGTCCTGTTTAAGCAGGCCTGAAATTCAGTTGCTGTGCTTATTGGTCTTAAGGAAACACCCTTACTAATAACACAGAATATGGTCTTCATCGCCAGAGGGTTCCCTAGAAAGCCAGGCAGACTGTTACAGCATTCAAAAGCCCAGTTCTCTATTGCTATCTTTTTTATTTTTTTCACCCTCTTTTTTGTTCTTCCTCTAGAGTGGCTATGTACTGCCTGGGGCTAGCTTGTTTGATCTGCGGCTGCAGAAGCAAACAAAGCCATTTAAACCAAATGTAAAAGGTTATGAAGAGGAAGGGAGAGTTAGTGAGGTCTGAGCGGAACAGTGAAATATGAGCTTTCACACCAAAGGAAGGCTTTAAATTGAACATGACTTCAGGAAAAATCAATTTGCTGTTTCCTTTCTTGTCATAATTCCTCGCTGCAACATGACTCTTGCCAATTATTGAAAGGGATGTCACTCCATAAACTCTGGCAGTGAAACTTATCCTACAGAGTAATCACATAATGTAACAGCTGTGATGTCACGATCAGTTTCCATGGTGATAAGAGAAAGAAGAAGAAAGGGTAGTGGCGGGGGGATATCCCATCAGAGGTCTGACAGCCTCTTTGATAAGAAGGGAAATACTATTTATAAAATCATTTTTGGTACCAGATTCTTAGCTCTACCAGTGAGACTGTTATGCAGGAATGAGAGGAAGGTGTGCAGAGGAACAGAGTCATCCAGGAGACAGGTGCCTAATTTGCAAACATCTTCCAAAAGCCATCAGTGAGAATAGTCAAGGACTGTATATAAGCAGGCAATTACACAAGGCAAAATAAATATAGAAAGCCTGAGAGTAAAAGCTAGTTTCTATGTACACTAGGTCCCACACCCTTCCTCTTCTTACCCGATCTGCCATCACGCTGAATGTCCACGTGGTACCATTCCGCATCATTGGCTTTCTTCTGAGTGGCTTTCACTTTGATGGTGCCTGAGCCCATGTCAAGCAGCAAATACAGGTTGCCATCAAGAAGTTCCACAGCAAAGAAGTCAACTTTCGTGTTCTTTTGGCTCCGAGCATCTTTCCTCTCCTGGGGCTTCCCATGAGTGAAGAGAATCAAACCATTCGGCTCAGTGGTGCGAAAGTCAAAGGAGATGGAGCCCATACGTTTGGTGTTCCACTTGGGCAAGCTGATGTAAGCCTCTGGGGTCTCAAAGTTGATGGGATCCAGTGTGGCCACATTCTCACACTTGAACACAACCTCACCATAGATTTTCATCTTGGTGTCACCAATCCGGGCCAGGCGAGACAGCTCCAGACGGATGTCATTATTCTTATAAACAACCTGTCAAAAGCCAAGCAAAAGTGGCACATGAATCAATCTTGCAAACAGTATCCATCCATCACTCATTGGGCATCCAGGAAAAAGGTCCAAGAGACTTCAGGGCATAATGGTCTGAAACAACATGAGAAGCATGAGACACAGCATTGTTTAAAAAGCATCCCACGAGATATCTGGAGCACACAGGCTCAGAGTAAGTCTCTATTTTTACCATCACAGTCCTCTTGTCTTTCTCCTTGTAGTGACTTTCTTTTTATCAGAAAGTTAACAGTATGAGTTTGCCAGTAAAATTCAAGATATATTAAGTTGCATGGGTGCACTCTCATACAAAGATATTTACTAAATATCTTGGTCAAAGATCACAAATGATCTTAATAACATCGATAATGGATGAAACCCCTTTATAATGGAATAGTATGCTGTTTTTAAAAATCAGGTATTACTTCTGGTTTTGATATGGAGTCCTTCCAAATCATTTTGTTCAGTGAAGTTAGGAATGGGATAGAATGAGAACCATGCTATCATTGCGTGAAAATGGAGGGTCTTATGAATATATAGGTTCATATAAGCATAGGAAAATGGAAGAAATGTAAACTCTGAAATTGTCATTGGAGAGCAGATTTGTAGAATTCATAATCACGAACGGAAGACTTGCGTTTTCACAGCATCCTCTTGCTCTCTTTGATTGTTTAAAGAACTGGGATTATATTTCCTTTAAAAATGGTTGACTAAGGATGGGGAGTCTGATAAAGCACTTATCACACAAGTGTGAGGACTCAAAGAGTTTGGCTCTCTAGAGCACAAGTAGAGGCAGACATGACAGCATGTGCCTGTAACTGCAGTGGTTCTATGCTAGCCTGCCACGGGCAGCAGCTAACAAGAGCCCTGTCCCAAACAAGGCAGAAGATGAGGGCCAACACCTGAGGTGGTTCTTTCACCTCCAAATGCACCATAGCCTAGATGTGCCTTATTCACATATTAGCACGCACACACCAGAAACACAAAAGATTTCTTTTTAATGTTTGAGTGTTATAAGTGTTGGTGAGGAGGGCGATTTGTGGGATTTTGTTTTGTTTTGGTTTGGTTTTATTCACATGGAACATGCCTTCGGTATGGTGGAGAAGTGTGATAATCTGAAGGCCTGGTTGAGTCAGTTGGGGACTTTTTTTTATTTGAGAATTTAAATTTATAGAAAAGGCTATCCCAGAAACTATTTTGCCCTGTAAGGGGCCCAACAGGGCTTCTATTTCCATGTCCTCCCCAAGGCACAGTCCCCATATGACCACGGCCACATTCCCAACCAGATTGGGAATATAGGTGGGGAACGTAAAGATACCAACTGTGATGGTTTGAGTGAGAAATGGTCCCCATAGGCTCTAGTATTTGAGCCCTTGGTCTCCAGCCAGTGGTGTTGTTTGGGGAAGCTATAGAACATTTAGGAGGCACAGCCTTGCAGGAGGAGGTCTGCACTGGGGACAGACTTTGAAAGTTCATAGCTTTGTCCCACTTCCAGTCTGCTCTCTGATTTGTGTCTGTGATCAAATACCTGTGCTCTGACCTTCCTGCTCCAGCTGCCATGGCCGCCTGTTGCCACACCTCTCCTGTCATTAGAGACTCTCCCTCTGGAACTGTAAGCCAATATAAACTTTTTCTTCTATAAGTCATTTAAAGTAACTTGTACACCAACTAAAGACTGTTAGGACTTGCTGAATCTGGGGTAATTTGTAGTAACATGGGGATTAATCTAGTTTCCTAAAATTAGAACTTCATAAACGTGTTACTCTTATTAATGCTCATCTCTTTATCTTATATTCTCTCTCTCTCTCTCTCTCTCTCTCTCTCTCTCTCTCTCTCCTCTCTCTCTCTCTCTCTCTCTCTCTCTCTCTCTCTCTGTAGGCATGTATATGCCACAGTGTACATGTGGAGATCAATGGACAACTTGGGTGTCAATCCTCATCGACCACCTAGGATCTCTTGTTTCTTGCTCTGTCCTTGGTCTACAAGATTCAGAGCCTTCTCCTCTCTCCACCTCCCATCCCACTGTAGGAGCACTGGGATGACAGCTGTGCACTACTGCCTCCAGCTTTATATGGTTCTAAGGATCTGTGCTCAGGTGTTCACACTTGCACAGCAAGCATTTTATCTACTGATCCATCTCTCCAGCCCCAGAACTGAATTTTAATGTGGTATCCTGGATTGATTTTCAGCAGTCTGATTTTTTAGTGATATTGCAGCTGTATGATAATAAAAAGAAAAAAAAATAGAAAATGGGGGGCTGGAGAGATGGCTCAGTGTTTAAGAGTACTGACTGCCCTTGCAGAGGACTCAGGTTCAGTTCCCAGCACCCAAATGGCAGCTAATAATTCCAGTTCCAGGGTATCCAACGCCCTCTTCTGACCTTTGCAGGTATAGCATGACACAGGTACACTTACATACATGCAGGTGATACATTCATACACATAAAATAAAAATCATAGATACACTATTTTTTAAAACCACAATAGACATGAACCACAGGGAAAGAGACAGAAATGTGATAGAGCTTATGACCAGTGTTTTGTTTTCTTTTCAGTATCTTATTCCAAGTTGAGGTCTAGACCCAGATTTAGGTTCAAATCTACATGCACTATTTTCGAGTTATGCAACTTCAGCAAAGTAACGTCTCTGTTTCTTCTTCTGAAAATGGAAATGGAAGTGTAAAATTTGTGAGGAAGAAATTCCTTAAAAAATGGAAAATGGAGAAGTCGTAGAAGATGCAAAAGCTTTGGCTGCTTGAGGGCAGTTGCTAGGGTTATTGTTCTTGTCTCACCCCCTGCACAGCTTTCAGAAGGCTGAATAAGCGTTCACATTTTCAGTAAAGCAATAAGCCTGAGGAGCCAATACCAGTCTCACCATCCATTTCTGTGAATGTTAATTGGATTAGCCATTTCCACACATAGCATTTAATTCATAACATCCTACTGTTTCCTTTCTCTAACCTGTCACCAGGAGATAGTCAAGCAGAGCTATTTGCCTTTGAATAGACACTATAAGAATTGATCTATAGCTAAGACAAATCATTGGAAATGCTTTGCCTATTATGTAACCTTGACTATGAACCTAACTGCAGTCAATACCATCCAGAACTGTCATATTTCTAACACAACCAGCTGATAACCAGGTTCTTTAGTAAAGGTTTGTCATCTACCACCCCATCCTGAGAGCATCAGTTTGGAAAACCTAGACTCATTCCTTCATTTTATAGACAGAGAACAACTAAGTAACCAGTTCATAGACACTAAATTGCTAAATGCAGAGCAGGACTCAAACCCAAGCAATAAGTTCCCAGAATCCATGCCCAGCACTGCCCACACTTTTTACTAATCCCTTCCATCAGCACTGAGGAAGCTCACTATTAGTGTGGTAGGAAGTCACCAATGCTCACCTTCCCATTCAAAGGCTGAATTTCTTGCTTTAGTGACACCAGCAGACCACGAGCAAAGAGAAACACAGAAGAATCCTCAGGCAACCTCTAGGCTGATTAAATCATAAAAAGAAATGGTTTGACTGGTATGTCTCCTTTCTAACTCCTGCTATGATGTCCCAGAATGTGTGTGATCTCTGTGTCTGAACCAAACTTTGCCTTTCTCTACATTTGGATAAAATGCCTCCTGACTTTGCTCCTTGCAAAGGTTAGCAATAACTTGGTCCAGAGAGACAGAAGAAGCTGGGTCCCACTGAAGGATACATGGAGAGAGATCTCAATCATTTGTCCTAACAGAAAGCCAGGACAAAAAAACAAACAGACAAAGGCCTTTTAAATGGATATAAGGACTAACTCTTCTATGAGAAGGGCACATGGCTGGGCCTGGGACAGGCCGTGATAAGCAGAATGTAGATTTCTGGAGAGAAGAGCAGGAAAATCAAAATCAGAAGTTATTTAGAAAAAACTAGATTTCTCTCAAAGCCTCTTTGGAAGGTGAGTGTCTTATCATGGCCTTAAAACTGCCTGTCTCTAGATATGAAGTTTCTACTATGGTGAACACAAGCTAACATGTTCCTTTGCTGACACCTTTCTGAATCTCATTTTATTCATTTCCAAAAGTTGGAGCCTCAATACCACTCCTAAGAACTACTGCATTTGTTCTCCCGAGCAACTGTCAAGATGAAATTGAATGTCATACATGGCAGAACACAGAAAGTTCTCAACTGGCATAAAAATCTAGGAAAAAAGTAATGATACACCTGCATCTTTATCAGTATTGGGGCTCTACTGGAAACAGGTAGCTCCAAAGTGAGATCCTGGAGAATATCTCCTACCAAGAAGAAAGGGACAGGAAGACAAGGGTCGTGCCAGCAGTGGTACTCAACTGGGTAGCTCTACTGCTATCATCCTTCCCCTACCTCTCACCCACACCCTAAGCCAGGCAGAAGTGGACTGCTGTCTTGGGTATGTGTGCTAGTGCATGAAATAAGAAGCCCTGCTAGACCCTCTTCCAAAGTGAATTAGTACTGGTACATCTGGAAAATCTATCTCTTGATTAAATGAATGTCCCCCAACTGACAAACTAAACTAGAGAAAGAAGTGACATCGGGTGATAGAAAGCAACCTTAGCTGACAAGTTTCCTCAACAAGAAGCAATTAAAGACAAAGTAGAAACAGTTCCCCATAAGGGACGATTCCATATAGCCTGGGAGACAGACAGGCAGAGCACAAGCTCATCATACTGCCCCACCCATGAATTTGTAAAGAGTACTCTTTGTACTTAAAACACACATAAGAGACCAGATGGGGAATGTATCTCTGAGTTAAACAAAGTCTGTGAACATATATAATTATATTCCTTTATGATCTTGATGCAGATATATAGACAAGCTATGAGTAAAGAAGCAATGTAATGAAAGTAGTTACTATCTATGGAAAGCCTAGTATGTATTAGGCTTTTTAAAGGCACTGTTATATATCATCCACAATAAGCAAGTGTGATGGATAGCATTAGCCCGGTCTCATAGACAGGTGCAAA